ACAAAAGGTAAATTCAAGTTTGAAGGTAATATAGTAATGCGAAGAAGAAAAATAGAGTTTTCAGAGTGCTTTTCAGTAATAATTTTTGCTTCAATTATATGTTTCTGAAAATTGTGACAAACTAATCTTGTTCTGTTACAAAGTCTATTAGAAGAATAAATATTTCATAGTAATATGATCAGTATATCTAACTTCAATATTAATTTATGAGGAGGGAAACCTTCAACAATCAAAGAATTAAGAAATTCGATTGGATACTGATAGTCTGTTTTATTCTGTTCTATAATCGTATTTGCACTGAGATACTCTACTGCTTCTCCAGCGAATTGTCTCATAACAATTGAATTAATTATATTAACATCATCATTCTTAGATGTGAGTATTGAACTTTAACTAAATATTGATGATTCGCTTATATAGAAAGATTAGAGTATACATAACAAATCATATCATTTAACTCTTGAGATAATAAAACAATATCTTCAGATAATTGAATAGTATTTGTCATTGAATTAGTGATGAAAGGTATATGCTTTTCTCTAACTTTAAGTAACTATTGAACAAAATTATCTTGTTCAGCAAAATCAGAAGTACTTATAACTTGACAAAAACATATGTTAATCGTTAATTTTCTAACTTTCACATGTTTCTAGAGAGCTAATCATCGTAGACAGACTTTTACAATGTCTGCTCCTCTTCCTTTTTTCACTACTAGAAGAATTTGCCAAAAGTTACTCCTAATAGCACAACTTTACTTTTGAATGGTTTGCTTTTTAGGGTTTGGTTTATAGCTTTCATAAGATCTCTTAAAGTCTAATCAATAGCTTCAAATACATGTCAATTCATCATCAATACTTCATTCCAGACAATAAGAAATGCTTTTTGTAAAAGTATCACTAACTTATAGCTATGAGATATTGCACAGGTAGAATCTTCATATATATTAATAGAAATTTTGAAATAGAAATACGCTGTTCGACTGTCTAATAAAAGTAAAACCATGATGTCTGATAATACTACCACAAGTGTGATATATCAACTCAACCAAATTTATACAAGTAAAATACTATATAATTTTAGAAAAAAAAATTTTGATTTGAAAAAAAAGGTCTTCTTACTTGTATAAAAATGTTTTTTTCGATCCACCTGGACTA